GTAGATAAATGAAATTTCATATGTAAGTAAAAAATCTAATTCTCTACCTTCTCTTAAATTTTGAGTAATTTCCGTTGACTGGAAGTAGTACTTTACGCTACTTCCGATTTCTCAAAAAACTAATGTAAATTTTAAAAGTAATAATAATATTGCGCACTATTATGCGCTTTTTTATTTGGCGTTCACTTGGTGTGCAATTAATTTGTCTACTAGATTTTATTCTATTTTTAAAACTTTAAGTATTTAAAATGGATTAAAAATCATGTCTATAGCCCGAGTTCCCATCCCCTGTTATTTTATATAAGAATATTCGAGAAAGTTTAGGGGAGATCACTCCCGGTTTATTTAAATTTAATCACCTCTCTTACTATGATAATTTTAGTTCAGAAATCTTACAGCTAATGGGTTTAGCACAGCAAGAATTTACAGGACAGTGTATGACAGTGTTTTTTTGTGTGTTATTACATCAGCCAATCTGGGTTCGGTTTAATATTGTATATATTCTCATATATATCTATATATATATATATCTATATATCTATATATATATATATATATATATATATATATATATATATATATATATATATTTATATTATACATATAATGTAGATGAAATGTCGTGCTTTCATATTATTGTATGTATCCTTTAGTTTCATGTTACATTAAATGTACGCGTGTTGATCAGATTTATATTTATTGAGAAATGTGTTTTCTTTATAGTAATTTAAATAGTAGTCTATAATTTATTTTCTACTTTTTAGTCCATTATTACATAAAAGCTTGTTATTAAAACGTTTTTTATGATTTTTTTTCAGTACTTTACAAGTTTTTTTTACAATAGAGTTACATGACTAAAAACCATTGCACGCCTACTGAACGTGATGGCGCGCCTACTGAAGGTGATGGCGCAGCTATTGAACGTGATGACGCGTGTGGTGTGGTTGGATAGACATGCCTATTGATTCGGTCCAAATTTTAATTAATTAAAAAAATTAATTAGGCATTTATTTAAGTCAAATTTAATTTCAGATTGCATTGTCTTCATGTCTTGATCCACGTGCCAAATGTGAATCGTATCGGTCAAGTAGAAGTGTCCGAATTTTCACTCCAGCATTTCGATCTAGACAGACAGACTTACGACTGACGACTGACGACTGTCGACAGAGGAAGTGAATTAAATAAAAGCTTGTAAAAAACACAAGTGATCAGCTAGATACCAACATACTTTAAAATGGTACAATTTTCAGGTGTTAATATCCGTGCCAGGGTTTGTGGAGTGTGTGTGTGGGGTCGTAGAGATTTCATATTAACTTTATATGTAGAAATGTAGAAATACTTTAATTTCATATATGACGCCCTAATGTGAAATTAAATTTACATTTAACATCGTTAAGTTGCATTTTCCCTACACGATTGACTATTTGATTTAAGTTACAGTTCTTTAGTCCCAAACCAACCTTTCAATAGCTCCATGTACCCCTATAATACGAATTATTAACGTTCAAGGGAACATCTATAAAGAAATTTCCTTCCTTTTACAGTTATATCCATAACACACCCAGGCGTCGAAGTATGTCGAAGTTGAACTCAGGATTTCCCGGTGGCTTTTAAATCCAGTGCCGTAAAGATAAGAAAAGATGATTGGACTTAGTGCTGACCACAAGAACTACTCAAATGTCACATCATCATGGACCGCCAGCTTTTAAAGGGTAACTTTACTACTAAAAAGTGATAGATTAATTATGTTTATCTAAGTATCGTTGTGAATGATATCAAGGCAACGATTAGGACTAAATGAACCATATATGTATAATTCGTTTTACTCTACGTTGCGTAATAGCATAATATAGTTGGAGAAGTTCTCATAATGTTCTTATCGTGACGAATTTAGTCTCGCCCTTACTATTAGATTTTAATTCTGCTTAATGTCTATGGTTACTAAAATATCTCGGTTAGATTAGTCTTTGAGGTTACTATCAAAGGTATGTTTAGGTTTTGGATTGAAGTTATCTGTCTGTATTTATTATTATTTACATATAGTTAATTTTTTTGTACCTACATTTTCATACGGCAAAAGAAGAACTGTTTATCTTTCTCTTGTCAACTGCATATGAAAGTATAGTGCGATCTGCAGTACTCTCGAGTTTAATGTCACTTACGTGAGACTGTCACTCATCATAGCTGGGTGAACTTAGGGACTTTATATTGCTTGGCACCCATCAGATTTGGGTGAACTCAGTGGACATTATATGGATAGGTACCCATCAAAGCTGTGTGAACTCAGGGGGTATTCTATGGTTAGGTACCTATCAGAGCTGGATGAACTCAATGGACATTCTATAGTTAGGCACACATCCGAGCTGGGTTAACTCATAGACCTCCTACTGATTAGAGTCAAATATACTAACGTAGGAATTTTCGGGTTAGCTATATAGCGCTTTCGGGGACGGCGTAGTCTGCCCTTCACCACATGAAGACATTTAGTTAAGGTACTCGATAGGATATTCAGGATATTCGTTTGAGCGTCGCTTTGCCAATAATACATAGCTGAATGTAGTTCAAATCATAGATATATGGAAGAAAAATAGATTTTTAAACCAGATCATGCTAAATAAAATCGTTTATTGATATTTATGTATAAATTTAGGGATTTAAAAAATATGTAAAAATAAGATTAGGGTATAGGGGTCAGTTGAATTAGTTTCCATTTAGTATGTTAATGCTAAACTAGAGAATTACTTTTAAAAGTAGGAAAATTATGAAATACCGACGCCGATACAATTGTAGTAGAATCTTTTTCATTTCTGGTATTGACTCTATTTAAATCTAGAGACACTTACACATCAAATAATTTTCTCTGTTTAAACTGAAAGGTTTGAGAATCTAGGAGCAAGATAAATGCGGGAATTTTTTTTAAAATACAGGTGGTGGAATAAAGGCAGTGTAGGTGGTAGCTGTTGGGGTTGGGCTCTGGGGTTAAAGAATTTTGGAGTTAAACCTGAGGGGGGGGGGTGAAGCTGTTGAGATTGTAGCTGTTGGGGTAAAGGCTGTTTGGATAAAAGGTGGTGGGGCTGACAGCTATTCCTGTTAGTGCTGTTGGAGTATAGTGGTAAACGCAGTATAGAAATCAACGAGCCCATGACATCCACGTTTTGATATTTAAACTATGCAGTAATTACCGTAAAGTTCAAGTGTATACAGTATTTTTGAATTCTTATTTTCCTAGTGCAGGTTGTGTTAAATAATTAGGTATTTTATCAAGTGGTAGTTGTAGTTAAAGGTGAATGTGTTATTTATAAAATTGTAAGTTGGGTTTTCAACATTATTATTATATTTTCTTCATTGTACTTTACTAGTTAAACTTGATACATTTTAGAAGGTTTCAGTTCTCATTAAAACTTGTATTCGATTCAGGAATTCTTTGTATTTATAATTTCACCCTAGACGTTAGATAGCGAGTTTATAAAGAGTTTCTGTTTTTAGTTGTCTTCTATGGTATTTACTTAGTTTATCAGTCCCGAAACCAATCCCCGAAAGAATCTGGTTGTTACGTAAGATAAATTAGTAGTAAAAGCACGTATCACTATATCAACCTAGTACCCGTTGCATCCTTCCTAAATTGGTTATTTATCTCGTAAGATTATATTTCTGCATTATTACTTTCTCGTATACAGAGTAGGCCTATAGAGAAAGTATTGTAATCGTGCCCAAAAATCACATGAAATTTTGACATTTTTCACCTCAATACTTCATTATATAAAGAACTTATTTTAATCGGGCAAAAATGTTAAATGCAGATTGATCAAAGTGTTGGTGTTCTATGCGTAATCGAGTTGGAAAAAACTGGGCATTGCAATTCTTTCCGTATGTCTGTGTGTGTTTGTGTGTATGTGTGTATGTGTGTCTGTGAACGCGATAACTTGAGTACCGTTACAGTTAGGTTGATGAGATTTCATATACAAGTTTTATATTATTATAACATTTGTTGTTCTGTATTATTTTTTCAGCGATTTCTGACAACCGGAAGAGGGACTTATTCTATTAGATTTTTAAATGCATATAACTAGAATACTCTTTCAGATAGATAAACGAAATTTCATATAGATCTACAAGTAAGATATCTAAGTTTTTGCAGTCTTTCAAATTTTGAGTGATTTTCGTTGAACGGAAGTAGTTTCTTTCGCTATTTCCGATTTTTGAAATTATGAAAGTATAAAGTGCTAATTATTTTCCGCACAATTATACACAGATTACTTGGCGTTCGTTTGTTGCGCAATTCATTTTTCTACGAGATTATATTCTATTTAAAATTTTAAGTAATTAAAAATAGATTAAAAATCTTGTCTATATCCAGAGTTGTTATACAGAGAAAGTTTAGGGGAGATCACTCCCAGTTCATTCCGTTGTGCAGTTTTGATATTGCATATTTTTCAAAAGACGATTGACACTAAATACAGCAGTAGAATAGCTGGGGATGTGATCCTGGGTTTAAATAGAGTCAATACAAGAAATGGAAAGAACACTCTAATACAATTTGCATAGACTTAAAAGTAGTTCTTTAGTTTAGAACTAAAGAAGCTAAATGGAAATAAATACAACAAACCCCTGGTCCTAATCTTATTCCTACATAATTTTAAATTCCCAACTTTTAACGGAATCATCAATAAACGAATTTACAAAGCATGATCGGGTTTAAAATGTTTTTCTTGCACATGACTATGACTTAATTATTGCATTCACTTATGTTTCTTTGGCAAAGCGACGCCTAAACGAATATCCTAAATGTGTTGTGAATTTGAATTAAATGGCTTCGCCTAACGAAGGGCAGCGTCCCCACCCTCTCTCACCATCTCCTATGTAAGTCTATAGCTTCGTATACACATTTTTAAACATTAAGACATTTTAGATCTCTATGCTTTTGCGCACCAAGAATTTGGTTTCTAAAAAGTCTGCGCAGATGCGGTTTAAAACGATCATACACAATTATTTTTTTAAAGAACGGATGGGACACTTTCAATGTTATTTCCACCACTGATATTTATTTACATTATTTGGCTAAAAATTGTAAAGTTGTATATTTATAAATGTTCTAAAGTCTAAAGGTAATACTAATGTTGAAGAATGTATCAGATAATAATAAAACCAGACCTACACGTTTATGATTTCTCATTTCTATGGTAGACCATCTAAATGTATAGCTTTTAAAAAACGTATTTGTATCTTAAATTCATTTTCTGTATCGTTCCATGACAGAGCAGTTTTTTTCTTACTTTTTGTTTACATATGTGAGCAGTTTTTTTGTTTTCTAAGTATTTTTAATGATACCTGCAATGAAGGGACTGCGTGATACGGTCGTAGAGCGCCAGATTCATCATTATATTTTCTCGTTCGTGTCCAAGACATATATGGTGCAGATGAAGTAGAGTTCTTCAGGTTTAATAACCTTGGCAAACAAATGGAAAAGGTAGTCAGGACTATACTCAGCCAAATGTTTCCCTAACGTGATTCAGGTACCCAGCTGAGCTGAGTGGACATAGACTAAAGTCTCAGATCTAGGCTCTACCTACATACTACACCTTTACCAAGAACGCTAGAAAGCTAACACAAAACTCCTACGTTCGTATATTTGACTCTAGTCTGTATGACGTCCCTGAGTTCATCCAGCTCTCATGGGTACCTGACCATACAATGTCCCCTGAGTTTACCCAGCTCTGATGTGCACCTGACCATACAATGTCCCCTGAGTTTACCCTGCTCTGATGTGCACCTGACCATACAATGTCCCCTGAGTTTACCCAGCTCTGATGTGCACCTGATCATACAATGTCCCCTGAGTTTACCCAACTCTGATGTGCACCTGACCATACAATGTCCCCTGAGTTTACCCAGCTCTGATGTGCACCTGATCATACAATGTCCCCTGAATTTACCCAACTCTGATGTGCACCTGACCATACAATGTCCCCTGAGTTTACCTAGCTCTGATGTTCATCTGACCATATAATTTCCCCTAAGTTTACCCAGCTCTGATGGGTACCTAACAATAGAATGTCCCCTGAGTTTACCCAGCTCTAAAGGGTACCTAAGCATACAATGTCCCCTGAGTTTACCCAGCTCTAATGGGTACCTAAGCATACAATGCCCCCTGAGTTTACCCAGCTCTGATGGGTACCTAACAATAGAATGTCCCCTGAGTTTACCCAGCTCTAATGGGTACCTAACCATAGAATGTCCCCTAAATGGGTACCAGTCTCACATAAGGGACACGTAAGTCTATTTAAATTACTGCCGAACGCACTATACGTTTACATGCAGTTGACAAGAAGATAATAAACACTAATTCATCTGCAGTATGTAAATTTATGTACAAAATAAAAACTTCACTATTTGTAAATAATAGTAAATACAGACAGATAACTTCAACCCATACCTAAACTTACTTTTGATAGTAGCCACAAACACTAAATTAACCTACAATCGTAAACACTAACCCTAGATCTAAAAGTAAAATAAAAGTAAATTGTAAACAGTGACTTTGAATCAGTCCAGTTAAGAACTCATCGAGAACCTCTTCTCCAACTATATTCTTTTACTACTCAGCGTAGAGTGAATCAAAAGTACCTGTTATACAGATATGACTTTCCTCGTCCTAATCATAGCCTTGACTTAATTCACAACGACGCTGAGATTTATTTATTCTACATAGCAAATAAAAAGTAAAGTTACCATTTTAGAACATGATAGTCAATGGGGCAGAAAATGTGACCTCGACATTTGAGTAGATCGTGTGGTCAGCCAAATGTCCGACTGTATTTTCTTTTCTTCACGTGCAGCAGGTTTATATCAGAGCTGAGTTGTACGTACTCAATCCAGGGATTCGAGCTCGAGTCTTTAGAGTTAGCAGTCGTGAGTTCTACAGTCCCACCACACCGGCATGTCCTCACTATATAATGACCTTAACAAACTTATATATTTCCAGATGCATGCTGAGAGATCATCACAACATTTTTAATACTGAGATAGTGCTGTACGAAATTAATAGCAGAGACACCACCAAATTCTAAACATGGCTTGTACATCTACGCCAGACAACGCATCATGTGATTTCACCATCGTGGTTGAAGGCACTGAATTTAAAAGCCATCGGGAAATTCTAAGTTCAGCTTCAAATTACTTTGACGCCTTGTTTAGAAGCAACATGAGGGAGACAAAAGAAGGGAGGGTGGAGCTACAGGGTATGACAAATGAGACTTTCGCTGTTGTGTTAAATTTCATCCACCAGCGTGTCCATGGTCTGACGGCGGATAACATTGATGACATCTGGGATGCAGCGAATCGTCTGGATATAGCAATATATCTTAATAAAATAGAGCAGTTTGTGATTGATAATTTATCAATTGATAATCTGTGGCGCTTTTATTTAAAAGCTGTCGATTTCAACTCAAACAAAGTGAAAGAAGGGTCGCTAATGTTCATGATGAAAAATTACGAACATGTTGTGATGATGAAAGAGTTTCTGAATTTTCCTTTTCCTTTAGTGCTATCTTGTATTGAAAGTGAGGAGTTGAATGTCAAGACAGAGGACTCAGTTCTGGAGTCCATTTTAACCTGGGTTTCTCATGGGACATACAGACCAGGTGCTTGTATATCAGCTGACTCTAGAGATACGGGAGCCACGTGTAAAGATATCGAACTACAGAACAGTGAGGGACACGCTCGTGACGTCACAACTGACGTCATAAAGGTTTGTCACAATTATGACACAGGAACGATAACAACGGACAAGCCTGGAGTTAACTTCAGCAAACATGGTCATCACGATGACGTCAAGAATGAGGACCCGACTGATGAAGTAACACAATATAGCCGGACAGGCGAACGGGCAAATTATCTCTCTAAACTCATGTCTAGTGCCAAACTTACTTTAGCCAGCGCCAGTTACCTTCGGAGTTTACTCAAAAACCCCTATTTAATCCAATGCCCAGATGCCTATCACGGAGTAGAGGAAGCCCTGAAATACAAGTGTGGGGTGTATCCTTTAGAGAGCGCCATATTAACACCTGTTCGAACTTGCAGCGGAAAGAAAAATGCCTTGGCGTTTGTTGGAATGGATTTCTGTCTGCACCTCTACGATTTGGAAAACAGGACTTTCAGAAAACTCAAGCTAGACAATTTCAAAGGACGATACGGAAAGGTTGTGTCTGTAGTATCGCTGGGGTCAACACTTTGCTTCATATGCGAAAGGTACTTAAGAAATTGTCCTTTCGCCAAACATAAATGCCGCCTTGCGACTGTCCTTTTGTTAAAGGAGAATAAAACGTTGTCCACACTGTATGAATTGTGCGGTAAATACGACTGTCTCCAAACTTTATTCTGTGTGAATAACAAAATTGTTTGCGTAAAAGCAAACGATCGATATGCTGCAACCAGAAGTCGAATACATAATCCAGATTTACTAAACACAGTCGTATTAAACTCTGATAATGTGTATCTCTATGCCTGTGCTTTTGAAAACGATATTTTGATGATTATGCGCAAAGATTTTTTAACAAACCAACCTAACGATTTACAAGTCCACACTTACAATCTGGAAACTAAGTCCCTAACAGCAACCAAAATACCAAATGTTGGTTGATTAGATTTTATTGCTGTTGCAATACACAAAGACAAAGACACGTTTCTTTTACTCTCAAGTGGAGTTTTACTTTCGATCAAGAGAGGTTCTGACAATGCAATTAAATTCACCCCTGTAGTCCATCTTTGGACAAATATTAATATGATGCTAAACGGAGCTGTGTGCTATAAAAATGAGCTGACTGTGTTTTGTATAGCAAGTCGTGTGCCCAATTGGACGATTTTGTCGTCCGTGCCGGGACTGTTTGAGAAGATCAGTGTCGTCGAGCAGACGGAGGAGATGTGGCCAACAACTATGGTGCCTGTGATAGCTCCCTTGTCTTGGTTCGGGTAAATAGTTGTGAGTTTTTGACAGAGCTTCTGTTGTTCCATCATCTGCTTTCACCATTCTTTGGAATAAAGGTCGCCAGTCAATGAAAACCATTCTATATCGTCAAACACAATATGCCAAAAAAAAAAGAGTGAGAATAACATTAGCTCAGCGAGTCATATAATTTTAGCGTTTGACCAACGATAATATTCTATTTCTTCGATTTACTGACTACAGAAGATCGTTCTGTACAGTCAGCTACCTTGATCTAATTCGATCTCACCGAAGACCAGCTAGTTATATTACAACGTTTTACGTGTATACATCACTATTTACACATTATCTTGTGTCTTTTATTATGCTTATCACATTTACGCTGTCGGTTATTAAAAAACAGAACAAAAAATAAATTTTGTTTTATTGAAAGTAAAATTTTAATTTTTACATGATATTATCCTACAATTCGTTTTTAACTATTTTGATTTGTAATGTGACTTGCTTGAACACAAATGTATGTATTTCCTTCCAATGTGGTCTTCTATACCGCAGTTCCAAGCAATGCTTTAACAGCAATGACGGTCAACTTAACAGCTGTCACCCCAACAGTTTTTACTCCAACAGCCTTCACTCCTACTTAATTTTCTTTAACAGCCATAACCCCAACATCCGCCGCCAACTGTTTTTGCTCCTTGTTTCTCACACATATCAGTCTGGTGTAGGTGTCTTTTGAAGCGTGGTTGATGTTAGTGAAGAAATGTTCTTGCGTTTCGTGTGTATCAAACAGTAGTATAAACGATGAAATGCTCTATAACTGCACAATTTAGAAGTACAAGGGATGGGTTACTTTCATGATTTAGTTCGTAGGACTTTCCTGTAAGAGTACACATATATATTTTAGAACATTAAGAAAAAAGCAAGAGTGATCTCGCAAAAATCTCTTGAATATTCGTATTCACCACTAAATGGCAGTTACTCCACAATTAATATCGGGCTATAGACATGGTGTAAATCAATATTTTATATATACATTTTAAATAGAAAAAAGCGTGTAGAAAAAAAGCATTGCGCACAACATGAACAGCAAACAAACTTTGTGTGCGTAATACTACGAACAATTAGTACATCATGAGAACAACTTTGTCTTATATGAAGAATTTAAGGCCAATCGATGTTGGAAATTTTCCTCTGAAACTGTCATCAAGTTATATTCTTTAAGAAACCGAGAGAAAAGTAAGTGCCACTTTCGATTACTTTAAACGCTAAAAAGGTTTAAAGAAAACCTAGCTGAAACGGTGCTAAGGTTATCGTGATAACGTAAACAAACACACATCCACTTAGACAGACATTTAAACCCACAAACACACACCAAAACACAAACACAAAAAACAGACGTACAAAAAATATTGCAAATTAAGTTTTTTTTTCCGGCTGAGGTAAGTGTGAAAGTCGAAATTTGTTAAATTTGTCTTAAATTTAATAGATTTGTTAAAAATCATTATACCGATATTTGCAGATATGTTAAAATCACGATGACTATTTTTAAAGATTTGTTAACATCACGATTTCTATTTTTCGCAGATTTGTTAAAAGCATGATTTTTTATTATTTCAGATTTGTTGAAATCAATATTTTGATTTTTAGCAGGGCTTTGTTAAAATCCCGAATTTGATTTTGCAGATTCGTTTTTTTTCAGATTTGTTAAAATAACGATTTCGTTTTTTTTTTAAGATTTATCAAATTTTCGATATAAATTTGTGCAGATTTGTTTTTGAAGATTTGTTAAAATCACGATTTTATTTTTTGCAGATTTGTTAAAATCAAAATATTTAGTTTTGTAGATTTGTTAACAACGCAATTTCGATTTTCGCTGATTTGTTCAAATTTGTTCAGATTAGATTTTGAAGATTTGTTAAAATTAGACGATTTCCTATTTTTGAAAAGATTAATTGAAATCACTATTTCAATTTTTGCATACTTGATAACATAACGGTTTTTATTTTTGCAAATATGTTTGAATTATGATTTCGTTTTTTCAGACTTGTTAAAATTATTATTTAGATTTTTCGACGTTTCAATATTTCTTTTATACTACGTATATGCTTAAGTTCAAAGACAATTTTATTTTATTGAAGTTTTCATATGCAATTCAAAACTTTGTTAAAAAAATATTTTTATACTGGCTTAGCTGTCGATGAAGTCGCCATCATAATGTTATGTAACGATGTCTTACCTAGTTCTAGGTCCATCAATGTTAATCTAATCAACTCGAAACGAAAGCTTACGTAAAATAAGATGACATCACATATGACATCACATATGACAACACACTATTTCAACTAAATTGGCGTGTCTGTGTGTCCTGAAATGTGACCGGAAAGTTACGCAACGTTATAATGTGCAACGGAAAAATGTGCACACAAAAGTTTGCAAGGGTATTTTTATTTTCTTAAATCGAGAATAATAAAAAATGAAATACACATTAACAAAGAGTTACTATATATTTTCTGTAGCATAATAAAACATTTTTATAAATACGGCAAAAGCAAAGTGTATTAATATAATCTACGAGAAAAATAGCCCATTGAGGAAGGGTACATTGGACGCTAGGTTGATAGTGCTGTCTCTTTTCTCTAAACTAAAACCAAAATCACCACCTTAATTAAATTTAACCGGAATCGAAAAATTACATTGAAAACGGGTTTTTATCCAGAATCGGCATTTTTATCGGATTTAAGCTTGATCTACACGTAGTTATCGCGCATTTTTACTAAATATATTCGTAGCCATACCTCTAAACCAGTCACCTAATCTCAATCATGACAAAAGTCCCATTTAGAGTTTCTTTTAGGCAACTCTACTTGTGAGGAGGGGGCTCCGCACCGTACCCCTCCACACACACATACACCAAAGCACGTCTATAGTCCCATTCAACACAATATAATTATATACTTTTTCCAGTGTCCGCCCCATCATAGAAAATCCTCCGCCCCCCCCCCTCCCGCTCTCGAAAATTTCAAGTACCCCCACCCCACTCCGGGGAGGAAAAAGTCCGAAAGAAACACTGGTCGTATTTGTAGATCATACGAACTACAGTAAGGGCCTGGGAAGAGATGCATAAAAGAAACTGCACGCAAAACACTCTTTAGATTAGAAAATTTTAAGTTCCCCCACACCTCTACGGGGAGGAAAAGTCTGAATTTAAAAGCCACCGGAAAATCCTGAGTTCAACTTTGACATACTTCGACGCCTGGGTGTGTTATGGATATAACAGTAAAAGGAAGGAAAATTCTTCATAGGTGTGCCAGTGGACGTTAATAATTCCGTATGCATGAAGCTATTGAAGAAAAATGTATTATATGGGTATATGGAGCTATTGAAAGGTTTAGCTTAGGTTTAAGGAACTGTAACTAAAATCGAATAGTCAATCATGTAGGGAAAATGGGACTTAATAATGTTAAATGTAACTTTAATTTAATTTCACATTCAGACGTAAATCATGAAATTAAAGTATTTCTACATTTCTACATTATCAAATTCGTTTAGTGACGATAGTTAATTATGTTTTTTTCTAATTAGCTAGCCGGCACGACCAGGCCCTGCACTGGCCTTTAAATAAAACGTACAAATAAAGTTAATATGAAATCTCTACGACCCCACACACACTCCAAAAACCCCGGCACAAATATTAACATATTAAAATATCAAAATATTAATTAAAGTATGTTGGTATGTAACATAACACTTGTTTATTTAGAACTTTTATCTGTTTATTTGCAATGCGAACTATATTAATATGAATGAGGATATAAAAATAACAGAAATACTCTATAGCGTTACCGCATTGATATTCTAAAAGCAAAAAGAAAACTAATATAAAAGTTTTAAAATGCATATTAAGTTGCGTTGGCCGTTTATACAGATTATAAAATCGCGTCAAATTAATTGTGTTGGCCGACATTAAACTATCATTCTCAAATCAACACCTAATATCAAAGATGTATTTTAATAGGTTTTTTTTATACAAATTTTTTAACAAATATAAATCTGACCAACACGCATACATTCGATGTAACATGAAACTAATGGATACAAACAATAAATAAAAGCACAATATTTTAACTACATTATATCTCCATTGTGTCCAGGACAATGAGACGATTGATACACAATGGAAAAATGCGCAACGGAAATGCGCACAAAAAGTTGTAAGGACATTTTGATTTTCTTAAATTTTACATTTTAAAAACAGTCACAACATGTATACTGTAGCATAATAAAGCATATTATAAAAATATGGCAAAATTGAAGAGTATTAGTATAATTAGTTAGTATTTGCGTATTTTCCATTGAATAGTTTTCTAATTGCGCATTTTCTAATGTACCATCCTTGACGTCTAATAGAAAAGACGATTCGCAATAAATACAGCAGAATATTAGCTGTGGATGTGTCCCTGGATTTAAGCAGATTCAATACCAGAAATGGAAACAATACTACTACAACTCTATCTGTATCGGTATTGTAGTAGTTTCCTACATTTAAAAGTAATTCTCTAGCTCAATACTTTCAAACTAAATAGAAACTTATACAACTGATACCAATGCCCTAATGCTATTCGTTCATAATCTTAAATCCTTAACTTTTTATGTTAACATCAATGAAAGATTCTGTTTATCTTGAAAGGGTTTAAAAAAATATATTTTTCTTGCACATAACTATTACCTAAAAATCAGACAACGATTTCTATTGGCAAAGCGAAGTCCAAACGAATTTATTAAATGTGTTGAGGACGTTAATGGAGGCGAGCGAGTTGACGAGGATCCTTCCATCATGTTGTTGACATGGAATAAAAACGTGCTTTTTTAGATTTAGCAAACAAAGCAACCGTAAAAATAATAACAAATAAAAACGTAAGTCTAAAATTAATTCAGAAATTTTTCATTTTTAGAATCAATTCTATAAAATTTGAAACTCAAGAGAACTTGAAAAAAATGTGTTGAGTACTACATTTCTATTTATTTTCATCAATCGTAAATGTTTCACTTTCGTAAGACAAATATTGATTGGCTATACAGGAACTCCGTGATCGATAACTATTTGTTTACAAAAGAAAATTAGATAAAGTTTTTAAATAACAGTGCAAATTCAAACCACATGACCTAGATTTCCTTTTTTTTCGCTTACAATGTGTACAATAAAAATTATGGTAGCCTATCGAATAGCACGATCATATTGTTTATGTTGCCATTACACGTAAAACTCAAATTGTTTTTGCTTTTTTTAAATGTTTATATAGTTACTGAAAATATTAAAATCATCCAATACATCCAATCTTTAGTAAAGTCCAAAAAAAACAATAGACAGACAGGATTTTATAAC